CGGCTCCTTGCCTTCTTGTTTGTGCCGAGGTTTAACAGTTACAGGTCTCTCTTTCTCACCACTCTCGGAGGTGTTTGCTGAGCCACTTGCAAAGGGTTCATGTAATTGAATATTCAGATGTAGGGAGAGGGGGGTTTGGGCTAAAGACAGCAAGAAAAGGATCTGGGGAACCCTTAAAGTCCTGCTCCGGGGAGTCACTAGAGTTACACATGCAATGCAGGCTGCAACCTCAGCTTGACTTGGCACAGGCTGTGCAAATACACCTTCCACCAGCCATTATTTTTTAGGGATGCAGCGGGCTATTACTCTCTGGGAAATTAGGCGCTTAAGTTAGAAACTGATGCTGTATAATCGTCAGCAGACCACAGGCTCTCACGCATCCGTACCAGCAGCCTCCGCCCTGACCCAAAACACAGCTAGAAGCAGACGTGAGGCTGGCAGGGGCAACGAGGACCAACCCTTTCTCTAAAGAGGGGTCAGCATTAGGACCAAGAGGAACGTCTGGCCATGTGGGTTAGAAATGAAGCTCATGCTGCCAAAGCCAACAGGGGAGCTCAGCACCTGGATTCCAACATCAGCCAGCCTCTGCCTGCAGCTCGATTACATTGCGGCGGGGTTCTCGATGTGCCGACAGCAGCAAACTTGCCGCAAAGCGGGCAGAAGCATCCGAACCAAAAACACGCCGTGTGAAGCATTATTGTTAAATTAGGAGGAGATAACGCACAGCGGCTCTAACGCGGTTCTCCCGCCTCGGTCTCACCTCTCCGTGCAGCGTCACCAACGGTGGCAAAACCACCTTGACCAACAGAATCATCAAGGCGCTCCCCAACTGCTGTGTGGTCCATCAGGATGACTTCTTCAAGTGTTGGACTCCTTGGATATGGAGGCAATGACCACTGATAGACCTATTTGACATACGCTACTACTTGGCAGTTCCATACAATGAATGCAAAAGGAGGAGAAGTACAAGCAACTACACTGTTCCTGACCCACCGGGTCTCTTTGATGGACACGTCTGGCCCATGTACTTAAAACACAGGAAAGAAATGGAGGACAGCGGCGTTGATGTTGTTTATTTAGATGGAGCTGACACCTCGGCATGGAGAGATGCCGACTGGTACTGCTCATCTCAAAGGAGCTCCGAGAAGTTCATTTAGAAACCTGACAATCAACACATCCTCCAGGTATTTCCATCCCTTGAAGCCCCTCTTTGACAGGCGATGGCCAGACAAAGGGCACATCAGTTGTCATAAGCCATTTTACAAGAACATCTACAAAACTATGCAAACCTGTCCCGAGCAGAGCGTTTCCAGTACTTTGGGAGTCACCAAACAGAATATTCTGTTTCACTGCCGGAGACGAAGCGCAAATCAGGAAGGCTTTCCTATGTAAAGGTTAAGAATAACCAGGGATGGTATTTTTTAGCGGGTTTATTACTGTGTGCAGGAAGGCATCTCTCTCCTCGCGCCAGGTACGGCAATGGGTGCTGGTGCAGGCAAGAGGCTGGGAAAAGATCTGGCTCGGCACTGGAAAAACCAAGATAGGGATTACAAAACTGCCGCTCGTAGTCCCAGCTTAAGCCACTAACCTGCATGACGTTCAGTGAACAGGACCCATAAATGCTTAATCAGCAACACGACCGAGTTATATAGGAAAGAAAAAGAAAGGAAGGGCAGATCCAGAGGGAAATACATGTATATCGGCATTACCT